AAAAAAAAAAAAAAAAAAAAAAAAAAAAAATGTAGGAGAAAACCTCGTGTCTCTGCATTTAATACAAATTGCCGTCGTGTTGTGTAGCAACCTGTTTCTTTCCGCGATCCTTTAATCTCTGACTTTTGTGCCTAATCACGTACGTGATGTGCTTCTGACAGCTTCGCCTGAATCCAGTTCAGAATCACAATTGCAAAGTGACTCTGTAACAAAACTAACAACTGATGAGGAAACTGAGGTGCCTCCTCCTCCAGGAACAGAGCCGCTGCTTCCGATTCCCGCCATTGTAAGTTCGCCGGAGAGAGAACCGGAGCAGCAAAACAACAATCCTCCGAATCGCGACAAGAAAGAACGGGAAAATGAGTACGCAGGGGAACGACAATCAAGGGAACGTCGACGAAGTTTCAGCAGAGATGGACCTCGAGAAAGGTAAGCGATGCTGCGAGATATCTCAAGCTTGAAATCTATTGTTTATTATCAAATCTATTGTTTATTATTGTTCGAAACAAAGTACTCAACAAGTTTTTTATTTATTTGTTACAATGACACAGAAGTGGGGAGCGTGGTCGTAGAATTGAGAATTTACGACCATTAAATCGCAATCGAAATCGATCCTTATCACCTAGACATTCCCAGCACGGTGAATATCCATCCTCGAGCTCGGTGCTGCCTCATTTAATGAACCCACCACCTCCTTCCAAAAGCTATCAAAGTCATCTGGCAGATGATGGACATTATCCGCCTGCTATGCATTATGACAGCGGAATCTGTAGATCCAATGAGGACCGTGCGGGCACTCCAACGGTGAGAAAACAATTTCTCAACTCAAAAAATAAGATTTTTTATTCGAAAACAGATCGATCAACACTGCGCGCGCTGCAATGTTTCAGATTGATGAGCCACATTTGCATGTTCCTTCATCTGGCAATCAACCGCCATTGTTACCATTTCCACCGGGTGAGGAACGAATTCCACCGCCGAATTACAATCAACCGCCGCCAAATGTGCCACCGCATAATCCGCCACTGTTACCGGACCCATACATGAGTCATCGAATACCGATATATCCGCATCAGCAGGGATCTCATTATGGGCCACCGAGATACGATAGACCCCCTTATCAGCAGCAAGGATACAGACCGTCTCAACCACCTCGAAGCTACAATGGTCCGCCAAGACCAATGAGAGGAATGCATCATAGTAAGCGCGGCTACGTTTGATAGTTGAATAATGAGTATAATTAAAATTTGTGTTTAGACAGATAGAAACATAATTATATTCCATTTTTATACCGACGTTTCGTGAACATTACAGCTCATTTCATCAGAGTTTGAAGAGCAGCCTGATACAGTATCAGGCTGCTCTTCAAACCCTGATGAAGTGAGCTGTAATGTTCACGAAACGTCGGTATAAAAATGACACTAACGCGGTTCAAACCCGAAAAAACATCTTTGTATGTTAATACTACACACCGCGAAAGCATCAAATATCTAATTATATTCCGTTTTCAGTGGGATATAGAAGTTTACAGCCTCCACCGCCAGGATTAGGTAGAAGTGTACACAATGGAAATCCACCTAGCGGGTAGGCTTTCTTTTATAGATACAAAATATAAAACACCAAAGATATTACAGAAAGAAAACCAAATATTCAGGAATGTGTTTTAATAATACGTTTACATCATTTTTTGTAGTATCATTGATGATCCATTGGAGTTATTCGAACGAATGCTTAGAGAGAAAGACGAGAGAGATCGTCGTTTGGGGAAGCACAGGAGAAGAAGTAGAACGCGATCTCGTTCGCGCAGCTATAGTCGATCTAGATCGCGTTCATTCGGACGCAGATCACCGTTTGCATCTCGCAATAGTCGATCTCGCAGTCCACCCTCTAAACGAAGATCATCAAGATCGCCATTACCACTCAGACCTCGTAGTCGCACTCCGAAACGAAGGTCGAGAAGCGGCAGCTTTTCCATTAGCAGGTATTTTGTTTTTCCGATTTTAAAGAAGAAACGCGCCGTCGTTGCTCGAGAGCTTTTCAAGTTTTTATTTGATGTTGCAGATCTAGATCGTATTCTCGCAGTCAGTCCCCCAGACCGTCTCCGTCGAGGGACAGAGATAGGGAGAGAGATAAAGATCGAGAAAGAGACAGAGACAGAGATCGCGATCGCGATAGAGAACGTGACCGCGACAGAGATCGCGATTTACCGCCTAGGTATCGATCGCCAGTAAGATCGCCCTTAAGGTACGCGTTCGATCATATTCACGGTTGTGTATGAGAGTCAGAGAAAACGGAGAGAGGAGACTTATAAGAAAAAGAATAAATATTTCATACGTTTATGCATCCAATCTGAATCGCTCAATTGTTCCAGATTTCAAAGAGATAGAGATCGCGACAGAGATAGACCACGATCTCGTGAGTCTCGAGAAGGATATAACACGTATTACAGCGATTCGCCAGCTCACGATTATCAATTTCGTGATCGCGAGCGCGATTTACCTCCTAGGGAGAGACCGTTACCGAGATATCCTATAAGGAGCCAGCCGCCCCAGCATAATATATCACCTATGATGCCACATCTAGTCACTGGAGGTCATCCACCACCGCCGCTTATGTCATTGGGACCTCCGCCTACGGACAGGAAAGATTATTATGATTCTTACAACAGGTATTTTCGCCTCAATAGTATTTTAATTCACGTACATGTTAAGCAGACAGCCAACCGATATACTAGTGCCACTAATTTAATTCATGATAAAGCTAGGCTCCGAAATTGTGGCTAATGAATTATACACAACAGTGTCGTAATGAAAACCAAAAAAAAGAAAAAAAATTGTTACAGTACAAAGTTTGCGAATACAAAATAATTCTGGAAGTTATTTTGATTACGTATATATAACTTAAAATGTGTGGGTTTTTTTATTGCATAAATTTGGCATTAAGCATTTTGTCATACATACATATTTTGTTTCATTTTGTACAATAAAGACGCTGTGATGTTATAAAACTGAAAAACGAATAGCGTGTATTTACATAAACACGATGCACAAGTGAAATGTTAATGCGTTTAATATAAAAATATACATATGAAGTTTTGAGTGTGTGAATTTTGACACACATCATGTACATATGCGTGTCATATATTTGATACATAAAGATCGTATATAAATGGTAAGTAATGCCAGCGTGTTTTTGTTTTTTCTATATATTTTATATATGAGTTTTATATTGATAGTTTTAGAATTTCTTTATTAACATAACGAAAAAAAAAAAACACGAAGTAAAAGATACGACGCTTCTAGAAATTTTTGTGATTCTATAGCAATTAACAGCAATTGCAAAGTATTATACGACAATACACAAAATGCAAGTAAAGTGCATATATGAAGTATGCGTGTACTTGTGAAACTACTACTGCGGGTCAAATTTATGCAATTTCTTTTTTGCGTGAGTGAAGCATATCTGACAAAATTGTATGTTATATGAGACTTTTTTTTTTTATTAACTCGCGTATATATTCTGTGATATTTTTTCTATATTATTAAATATATTGATACATATATTTTTCTATAACCTTGCGTCTCTGTGAGAAGAAAGACTGAGTTGCAAAGAGGCTTGCGTCTTTAAACTGTACATGTTTAGCAAGTGTTTTTGAAAAGTGTGTGCGTGTGTGCACATACACATTTACACCGGCTCATGATTTATCTAACTCGTGATCGCGAGCGCATCTTACTCCCTAGAGTAAATTCATCAAAAACATTTAGAAGTTGTTATTTAAAAATTAGTATTTTAAGAAAGCTGCTCTATCGTGTGAGCATTTTATATTACATATATGTGATGCATTTTCTTAAGTATAGCACATGGTGTTATGCACAGTATTTGAAGAGTGGACAATCTCGCAATTTGAATTTACATAGTCGTAATATATTTTTAAAAGTTTTGTAGATCTCTCGAATTGCAATAATCTAGTCAACAATTAAAACATTATTGCTTGTTGATATAATATCGTATTCTATATGAATTATTTTTTACTTACTATCTTTTTGTAATGTTCTTTTGTGATATCGTTATTTAAATGGTTATATATTTCTAGCCTTTTTGCTGCCGTGAGCAGAAACCCTATAATCGCTCAATAACTTTGCACTCACATTGCGAGTGTTTACAAACATGCAATATAAGTATATGTATTTTAATCGAGTGGATTTGTTGTTTACTGTCTACGATATCGATGATAGTAAATACGATAATTTCGTCAATTGCCATCGCGAATTCATAATTCGTGTATTTTCGTACATTGTGCAACAGAGAATGGCAAAAGGGCTAGAGAATGCCGCCTTTAAGGATAGCAGAGTGAGAGAATAGAATGTGCAAATGAAAGTATAAGTATGTGTGTGATTTTTAGACACATATATATGCTGCTGATTATTAGACACACATATATGTTTTTATCTTGTATATATTTTTATTATATATTTTATTATATATATACACATTTATATATTATATTTAGTGTCACAGTCCATCCTTAATCTGTAAATTTTATGTCAAATATACACAACCCATGTCAGAATTCTGTTTCGACATACGCGCACGTATAGAAGAGAATTTTTGTAGTTATAATTTTCTGTCGCTAATCAATGGGTTTACTTACCAGACTTGCAGAGGGGGCATTCCGTTACTTTGTCAATAATTTATAATTTGATATTTCACGAAATTATTTATATTATTATACACTACTACTACTGTTGTGCAATACTTTAATTATTGTAACACGAAAAATATCAGTCGTGCATTTAATACATAAAAATGAATATATAAAAGCTAAAGATCAAATTTATTGGTGTACCAAAAGTAAATTATTACGCAAATTATAATCCGCTTATGGTCTGTTGATTTGGGAAAAATAGCGTGAGGCAACCTTGTGTTCATCTTTTAACCTTCGTTTTTCTCAAAGAATGATAAAGACACGCGCCAGACTACGCGCGTATTCGCAATTCAAGATTCACGTATGAAATTTGTGAATGGTGTGGAAAACAAAAATTCGTCGATTTGCATTGATTCGCTAACCAAGCGGTCTTTTGACGAAACTCAAAGAACGTGAATCATCACCAATCGATTCATTCGTGCCGCGCTACGCTATGCGTCAAAATTCGTCCTTCTAAGTACATGTATTGTTTATGTCGTGTATGCGCGCTTAAACGTGTACACTATTGAATATGACTGCGACGAATCACAAGAATAGAGGGAAATAATACATGTATATTGTTAATAATTTAAATACATTATATGTATTAGTTTTCATAAGTTGTTATTTCAGAATTCAACAAGAATAGGAAGAATTAATATATGTGTATATTAATAATTTAAATATATATATATATTATAAATATATATATTATAGTTTTCATAATTTTTAGACGTTATTTAAGCAAAGCTATATAGATATTAATAGATTGTAATGAAAATATGTAAGTCCATGTCTCATTTATATAGATTCATAAGACTTATCTTGTGTATAATAGTGCATATATAAAATACAACTTAGCAAGTACACATATGTATGCACACATGTAAGTGTGTATCTTAAAAATTAATATTTTATACTAACTAATATATGTATATAGTTATATATATATGTGTGTAAGATGCATTTTTTGTCAACAGATATATTATATACATACATATTTAAGATACATATTTTATAATACATATTTTATAATACATATTTTATAATACATATTTAAAATACATATTTTATAATACGTACATTTAAAATATATAAGTGCATATGTAGTAATATAATAGTGTTATAATTTCAACGTGCTATATTATTTGTTTTATCAATTTACGGCTTGTTAAATTACGTGTTATATGTACGCGCATTTAATTATATATAGCACTTAAGATTATTGTCGTAAATAGAATAGACTAAATTCTTTTTTGTAAACGTGAAATTAAATTAGTCTTGAATCCTATATGCTACGTAGATGAAAATATTTATATAAGAATTATTATGTTGTTATATTAATTAAGCATTATTTATCTGCTAAGTGTCATTTCATAATGTTATTGAATATACAATTGTTTTTGCAAATTGTATGCAGATAATATACTCTTGTGTTATTTATATATAGAATATATGTAATATATATATATATATATATACATATATATGTATGTATGTGATATGTACGTATGTGTATATGTATGTATGATGCGTGTATGTGTTGTGAATGTACATTACATTATATATTAGTAATTTAAAAAAAAAGTGTATGAAGAGGAGAAAATCAAGGAAGAGCATCAAGGACTGCCGATGGATACCGCCTGCGGAAGCTTGCCAGCTGATTGACAAGTCTGCATGGTTTCTTCATCAGGTGAATTCAGGGCCAAATCAACATTTGTAACAAACCAAAAAATATTTTACGTACAATTTGTGTTCAGTCAAATGTAAATGGCACAAACTACAAATCTGATAAATTTTTTTTTGTTTTATTATTTGTGCTTATAATTTTAGTGTTTTTGTTGTTCCATTAATCGTGATAAATTTTGTATTTTCAAGTCCTTAAAGTTACAAATGTTGTTTTATATTTGATTTTACATGAGTTTAATTATTGTTTTCAACAAGTTTGGGCAATAGGTGGATGTATATCTTGTTTTTATTCTTTCAGCTCTGTTGTACGAAAAATCATTTTAAAAACGATTGACGCATTTTTGCCAAAATTGTTCGAAATTCTTAGTAGATATCCTCCTATCTGTGTTGATCGCGTAAATAGCGGGAGGTGTGAAAAGAATATGTAAGAGGCAAACACGCAACACTTTCTTTTCTTTCTCTCAATAATATCTTAACATAAATTTTCTCGCGCCTCCAAATTTGTTACTAACCAAATACACATATAACGTACACACAACAATTTCTTTTGTCCACTGCGTCAATTCTCTGTAAAGTTACGACATATATTTGACGAAGAAGAAACCAAAGATCGTATCAAGGTACTTCGCACCACGACTGATGTATCAATCGCTGTACTGACTTTCTGTCAACAGATATTCCGGACCACCTCCGCCTCAACGTTTCGCCAGTCCTCTCAGAGATCATCCGCCTCACAAGCGATTCGATGATGTCGCACCGCCTGGCACAGAAGGCTATTATGACCTCTCGCCACCGGGTGTAGAAAATTCGGAGAGACCGCTGAGAGATGATCGCGACCGGCAGCGTTCTCTGAGGGATCAGGAGGATCGGGAACATTCATCTAAGGATCGTGATAATGAGGAACGTGACAGATTGAGAGACGATAGGTAACGTTGAACACACAGCACACATTGTAACAGAACCGTTTCGTTTCATCGTCGTTGAAGAGAATACATTTCTGAGCGCACAAATTTTCCTTTGTTATTTTACAGGGGTCGCGATCGCGAGGATCGTATGCGTGAGAGAGATGACAGAGATCGCAGAATCATTAACAGAGATCGTGAAGATCGTGACCGACAAGTCCCGCCGAGAGATCACGAGGATAGGATACGAGAGAAAGATGAGCGTGATCGAAGAGAGAAAGAGAAGGAACGCGACGACAGACACATTCGCGATCGTCGAGACGATGACAGACACGTTGAGAAGAAGGATTACGACAAGGACCGGTGTGTTTCTACACGATTAATTAGAAGTGAATGTATTTTCCCGTTATAAAACATCACATGTGTATTCACTTTTTTTTTTTTTTTTGTTACAGTTACAGAGATGATCGCGATCGTCACAGGCAAGACGATAAAAATCGGCTGCGAGAAAAGGAGAGACGCGAGCGCGAATACGAAGCGGAAAAGGACAGAGATCGCTACGAACGTTACGAGAGGCGTTCGATAGAGCGGAAGAAGAGCAGAAAGAGCTTGAGTCCGTACTCGCAAAAATCGGCCAAGGATCTGTCACCGGAGCGAAACGCGAAGAAGAAGGAGAAAGATCATGAGGAGAAGGTCGAGGAGAAGAAGAAAGAAAAGAAAATCAAAGAGAAAAAGAAGAAGAAGGACAGCGACGAAAAGGAAAAGAAGAAAAAGAAGAAAAAAGACAAAAAGTCGAATCAAAAAGAAGCGTCTAAGGAAGATCATTCATTCAAAGTTACAGAACTGACGACGGAGGACACGCTGTCCTCCGAGAATAAGGCGACGGACATTGCCGTCACGTCTTCGCCGATGAACAAGATCGACTCGGTGAAGATGTGCAACGAAGTCGATAACATCGAGAACAGAATAGAGTGCATCTCTAACGAAGCGCTCGTCGCACCGGTCAAGGAAGAATTCGAGGACAAATCCTTGGCGATAAATCCGGAACCGCCGGAGTTTAACGAGCCTAGTCCTGGCAGCGGTCGGCTTGACCGCACGGAATTCTGCACAAATCCGCCGAATCCGAACTTCAAACCGATCCCGGAACTCAAGTCGGACATGAAGCCGATCGAAAGTCTTTACGGCGGACTGGACGACGCGGAGATCAACACCGTGATCACGGAGAAGTACTCTCTGTTGTCGGAACATCCACAAGTCGAGATGAAAGAGACCACCCCCACCATGCTGCCGGCGGATAAATCGCCAAAGAAGGACGAGTTCTTAGCGCCCATACCGGAATTGTCCAAGTGGGAAAGAGACGAGACGATCGAAAAGACTGAGGATAACGAGGACGATGACGCAGACAGGTCGCCAACGGAGAAAATCCAGAGGGACGACGAGCCGAAGTCAACAAAGATGGTCACTTCGGAGGTACTTAAGCGAGCGGAGAATGCTATATTCCAGAAGGCTATCAACGCGATCCGGCCGATTGAAATAAAGAAGATCAGCGAGAGCAGGAAGATACTGTATCAGAATCCTGAGCCGAAAGTGCTCGAGACAGCAGAGCCCGCAAATCGGGAAGCGCGCAAAAGTGTCAATGTGACAATTAACGTCGGTAGAAATGAGAGAAATGTGGAAATCACCGAGCCCGTGAAGAAAACCAAACTCGATCGGACCAAATTTAAACCTGTTCCGGAAACACCTTATTCGCCGACCAGACTGTCCGCGAAGGAGAGGCTTGGCGAGAAGGTTGAGGACAACAAGGAGAGAAAGATCAGTCCCATGAAGGGATTCTTGGAGAGACGCGATGGAAAGAGCGAGAGTCAGTCGAGAAGTCGATCACCCAGACGGGAGAAGAGAATCTCTCCGATGTTAGAACGACGCGCCGAGCCCGCGCCGTTGGGTTTGAACACGAGTGGCGAGAGGAAGGTGTTCTTGGAAGAGAGAAAACGCGATGCGAAAGATAGAGGCGATCGGTCGAAAGAGAGATCGGAATTCCGGGGCGACAGGCACAGCGGCGAGGTGAGATCCGAGAGGGAAAGTAAGATTGATTGCAGAACGGATTACCGCTCGAACAGAAACGACATCAAGGGCGGAGAACACGCGGACAAGGATCGCGAAAGAGATCGAGATCGCGATCGCAGAGGCAGAACACCTCCGTCCTGCACGTTTAAGAAAACGGAAATGCCGAAGATAAACCTGTTGAAGTCGAGAGACGACGAGGAAGAAAAGAGACGGGACAAGAAACCGCGGGAGGAAAAGAAGAGAAAAAAGGAACACCGCAGCAGAAGTAAATCTAAGGAGCATAAGAAACGCAAAGAGAAGAAACACAAGAAAGATAAGGATAAGAACCAGGAGAAGAAACAAAAGCACAAAGAAAGCGCAACATCGAAGGACAAGTTGGATACCAGTGATGCCAAAATTGCTTATGAGAAAATCGAGTCACCCCTAGCGGACTCGTTGAAGAAACAGAGAAAGAATCCGAGATTGATATCCGATCGTAAACGCAGTATGCTCGACGAAGCGAGCTTCGAGCCCGATTACTCGGCCTCTGATTCGGAATCGGACAACGACGACGGCAAGATGTTGTTACCCGCGAAGAAACTGAAACTCGACGAAACGGACTTGGATAAGGAAATGGAGATAAAGTCCGCGAAGAAACGATCTAAGTCAAGTAGCAGCGACGACGAGTCTAGTAGTTCGGACACGACCAGTTCCGATTCGGACAGTAGCGACGAATCGCATAAGAAGAAGAGAAAGAAGCACAAGAAACATAAGAAGAAGAAATCTGCCAGGAAAAACAGCAGCTCGGATTCCGACACTTACTCGGATTCGTCCGACAGTAGCAGCGACGAGGAGAAACACAAGAAGAAATCAAAGAAATCAAAGAGCAGGAGCAAGCAATCGAAAAAGAAGAAAAAGTCCAAACACAAATGACATCACTGAATACCTTTGATCAAAGGACTTCATGAGGAAACCCAGCGAACTTTCTCTCTTTTCAGCTTCTTTTAATTATTAAAACAAAACAAAAAAAAAACAAAAAATTAGTTTGACGATTGATCTTAATTCTCTGTGAACATTTAATTGGAAAGTGTAAAGAGGGAGGTGCAAACACATGAGTCCGTAAGAGACCTCATGTATATACAAATCATAATATGATGAAACAAAGGACGCAGTTGATATAACCAGTAAAGGAGTAAAAAACTTCTTGTGGAAAAATAATAAATCGAAGATGCAGAATAAAACTTGTTTGTGCAAGATTTGGTTTTCACTTGCCTTTCAAATTTTTCAGTTAATTTTTATACAAGAACCGGTAACAATTTTTTTTTTTTTTTTAATCTTTGTGAATAAATTCTTCGATAATTATTATCACGTCACGTCTTTTGGACTGATTATTATTATTATTTTTTTTTTCATGACTACCGTGACTAAAACAGTACTTTGAGTAAGCAAGTCAGTACGCACTTTTATCAATAGATTGTTTCAGAAAAAAAAGTCGTTCAGCACCAAACGAGTTAACAGTTCGAAAAGTAGTGTAAAAGAAAAAGAGACAACAAAATACCACACACGTACCATAGTTGGTTAAGATACTTTAAGTGAAAAACAAAAACAAAAAAAAAAGAGCATTATACGGCCTTCTCGTATAATTATCTCATGTTCTTGACACATTAAAATATTGTAAGTTTATTATTAGGATTAAGTGGTGTACATTGTAGTCAATATATAAACTTGTGTCGCGATTTTCTTAAAAGAAATGATTAAAATCTTTTCAAAGAAATTTAATAATAATAATAATAATATAATGAGTTAAGAGCAATTATTATTTAAGATCTTAATTTGAATATACACACATATATTATACTTTTTCGTAATCTAAGATGTCAATAGATGAACAAAACTCACAAATAAAAATCTGGTAAAATTCTTTTAACATATTTTTGTCCTTTACCGAAAATTTTACACTCAAACGAACAAACAAACACATACATGCCATGTATACATATATATGTTTTATATCTCTTTTGTAAATATATCTATTACATGCAGGTTTTTTGTCGTTTGTTGTATAGCAAACTACTTTAGATGTGTGTTGTGTTAAAACGCAAAAACAAGACAAAACAAAAAAAAAAGAAACTAGAATTTGACGATGTGGTTTCTCTTTATTTGTGGTACTTAAGAAAAATACACAATATATAGTGTTATATACATATATATACATCCAATTTATCTTGTGCATAAAAGTTCACATTTGTATATAAAAAAAAATATCCAAGTGTAAGATTTGTAAGACGCAAAATAAACAATCTTTAAAAATCGCAATTAGGAGGTTTTTAAGCTGGCGAATGTCTGCACAAGGCTGCACAGTAACGGCAGAGTCTTGCTTTTTTCATTATCTCTTACTCCCAAACCCTGTGCGAGGAGCGTACGATCCAAGGGATGTTTCGGAAGATCACATTCTGCGAGAGACAACAACATATTATAAATTGTCTTACAGCCAATTTTTTCACTTCTAGATAAGTTTTCGCGATAACTTTATCTAGAAGATATCTTCCAAAATTGGTTCTCCTTATTGGATTCCTCAGAGGAATTTCCAGAGAATAGCTATCGAGAGGTATGAAGAAATCGGCCGTTAATGGTTTTTTCAAGTTTCGTGTCACGCTATTTTCAAAATTCTAAATAAAACTAAAAATTTTACAAACTGCCATTCGTAACGCGACACGCGTTGCACAAAATTAGGATAAACAAAATTCGCACCCGCGGTAAACACCGTCGAGCTGTACTTGTATCCCATCCAATCCAAATACTCTCTGATGAGTTCATTGAGGAACACTATATCGTGAGACGGGTTGACGGTTTTCAACTTGCTCTCTTTGCTGGAGCCGTCGAGCAATTTTATCACCTCCGTGCGCATTTCTGCCTTTATGCGATCAAGATCTCCGTCGGCCTTCAACGACTCCCTCACAGCTGAATACAGAAAAAAAAAAAAAAAATATTACGCACTTTATAAATACGCAAATTAAAAACGTGCTGTAACACAAACGAGTCTTTTTATATTATGTGATATCCGCAAAATACGCAAGTTTTGGTCTCGATCGGTTGTCAAAAACACGTTGCAACTCGTGTGATTTTCAGAACAACTCGTGTGTCTGTTGTGGGTTATGTGCGCGTACCGTTCACCAGATCCTTTTCCGTCGCCATTCCGCAACGTCCCTAATTCTCGAGAAGGGTCTGAAATGTAAAGAGGTGTAAAAAAACAAACAAAAAAAATACTAATCAATAAGTAGCAAATACGTGTGCCGCCACTGATTCAAACTTGGTGAGTCAAAAAATTCAGTACCGTTTCGTTTGCGTCAACGTTCGCTCGGGGGGGTACGTTCCAAAATCTTACCTTGGTAACCGAAAACTATATAGTACACGTGACGCAAAATATAGCATTTTCGTAACCAAGGTAAGATTTGGAACGTACCCCGGGTAGGTCCAATTACGATATTATAATTTCGATATCTCGACACGTCAATTCGATATATATATATTTTACGAATGGCGTTCGATCTCCGGAATCTCACGTCCTGTTTTCAAAAACTTCTGCCGAAACACGCGCCGGCAGAAGTTCACGCGCGTCGCCGCGAGACGCGGTCGAATTTCGCGTCTCTCGAATGTTGAAATTTTCATGAAAAATTCAACGATTTTTCGATAAATCGAGCGAAAATCGGTATCGAACCGGGTTTGCGATAACAAACGCGTTTTGTGTTTTGCAAATTTCCCGAACATACCCAATCCCGGCCCCAATACCTCTGCACCACCTTGTTTCGGCACTTTTTGCGCGAGCCCTGCGACAGCGAGCGGCGCGCATCGCAACGACTCGGTTGGTTCGACGTTTCCATTACGACAATACGACGCGAGAAGCGGAAACGAGCGGAGCTGGGCGAGAAGAAGCAGCGCGCGGGGTATAATTGCGCGTATAAAAACCTACGCGAGAAAACGCGATTCCGCTACTTTATTTCGCTACGTGCGTGGCGTGCGCGCGCGCCTTTAATAAACCAAACGACCGGCCCAGCCAGCCAGCGACTACGACGACGACGACAACGGCGGCGGCGACGACGACGACGACGACGACGAGGACGAGTCCCTTTCTTCCCCCGCGATCAACGACCACCGTCGTATCCATCGTTCGTTCTCTCATCTGTATGCCTCGCGTACACCATCACAATCACCGATTTTCCATGAGTAAGTTGCGACGATATTGATTTCGAAAGGGCACTCGATGTAGTAATAACGCACAACGCGCTTACAACGCGAATTCGAAAAAGCGTCTCCCGTGGAGAGCTCGTCTCTCGGTCGCGACGGTCGTTTTCTCCGAAATAAGATGAAATTTGTATATTCGCGCGGAGGAACTTTCCACGATGAAAACTTAAAGGTCGCCGTGCTCCGCACATATATACGTCGCGATGCGTGATCTCGCGTAACGGTCGCTCGCGCGAATCGCAGTCTCTCTCTCTCTCTCTCTTTGCGAAAGAAAATCCGCGATTTATTTTCGCGTGCTCTATATCCGCATTTTCGAAATTATTAAAGTGCAGAAAGTCGAACATGATAGGAGGTCTGTCCGAATGAGAATAGAGCTGTAAACAAAACTACTGTATACACGCGTTTCTTCCGTGTATGTGTGTGGTGTGTGGGTGCGAAATTGGACTCGGGAAAACCGGATTAAGTCGTTCCCACGGATGAGACGCAAACCTTCGTTGTTGTGGAAATGAGTGCGAATATAAAAAACATCTCGCGGAGCTCTCTTTTGCCTGGTATTTTGTATACTTGTGTACGCGCGCGCGCGCGCGCGCGTGTGTGTGTGTGGTGTAATTACACCACCACGTCTTCTGACACATTTTTCAATACTGTACCGATTGTCGAAGAATAAGTTCTTTTTGTTTTGATGTCTCGCGCCCGTGGTTGACAATAGCAGAGTTCAATAGGCTTCTCGAACTAGTTTATTACCTGTATAGTTTTTGATGCTTTTTCTTTTGTAGCTCGGAAAACACTTGTGTTCTGAAAAAACAGTCGTATGTGTTCTATTATTAGAAATGACAGATGTTTGAATATGTCACAGAGATATTAACTGATGATTTATTGTTTAATTAATATTTGCGACTTAAACGTCTCGTTTCGCATCTTTGTGTCATATTTAATAAATCTTTTTGTTATTCTCACAAAGCGATGATTTAAATAGAATTCTTAATATTTGTATTCCAGATGTTAACATTGTCTTCCCACAGCTACTGGTAATGCCCTTTTTTAATCAGAAGTCCGCAAGGTGGTCCTCCTTGTCCGGTTCTAATTTTAGCTGAGAATAATACAGAAATGTGAGCAGTGACTTCATATTCACAAATGGCACAGAGCGTTCACTTTTACATCATTTGTGAATAAGTATGGAATGTGTATATAAATCATTACTAGTTTAATCTTTAATCTGCGTTAATTTAATTTGCATGATATGCAATTTTATATTATCGCGCAGAAGAAGAGAGAAAAAAGTACACACATGTAATAACTTAGAATAAAGATATTTACATTTCAACTTGATTATTACATTCGGGTAAATTAAATATTATTGCAAGTGTGGGAACACGTTACATCGTATGTATGTAGATATAAATTTGTTATAGAGAGAAGCAAAATTGGTCTAGCTTGATGGTAATGCGGGGATGTGGATCTGCTTCAACCCGATAGAAAGCCGAATAGGCTGGGGTACTTCCATTTTGTTCATCGCGCTTCTATATTGGACCTCAATCACCATTGATGCCAGTCTGACGAATGTGGCTGCGTCCAATGTTCCACGTAGCACTGTCACGTCGGAGGTATCGCTTCCAGCGTCGGCACATCATGAGAACGACGAATGTAGGAATGTGACCACTGACAATAGAGAAGGTATTATTATAACTTGACACTTGTTCCGCTTAAAAATCACTCGCGTCACCTGATAGATGGAGTTTTGGCTTGCGACTACTGTTTTTTTTTTACTTCATCGGCGAGAAACGTGTGTGGTTCTTGTGTTTTGCATAGGTACTGGACTGTCAGTGGTCAGCCATGGATCCGGTTATCCTCATTCGCCGATAGTGCCTCCAACCTTTCTGAACGCAGCTCTTACCTGCCAACCCTATCAAGGAATTTATGTGAACCACATCTACTTTCAACTCGCAAATGCCTTCTTCTTATTGTCACATCTTGCACCAAGCGGCATACATGGTGTACTCTATTTAAGGTGCACTCTACTCGTGGGTTGTGCCTTTCTTGCTTTGTGGGGCTGGACAATAGCTTGCTGGCTGGACGCTGCTCTCTGGAATGCTCTCTTTGTTGCCATCAACTTCGTCCATGTATGCACGCTTCTTTACAAGCTCAGGCCTATCAAGTTTACAAGGGAAATCGAAGAGGTAAGCGAAGATCAAACAGAAGACAGTGATTCGAGGGAGTAATGTCTCACTATCCTATCTCATAATTATCACTCACTTTTTTCGAAGGCCTAAAGTAAAATATATTTAAATATATTTTAGTTTTGTCTTTTTAGTAGTTCATTTTCTATATATGAACATATATATATATATATATTGTTTAAATATATATTAGAAAAATAACATACAGTGTCCATCACATTTTCATAGTTTTTACAAACCAATAGATGACATATATGTGTATATTGTAAGTTGCATGTGCATTTCTTTTTACGTAGAAACACCTAGCATAAGTTATAAATATATATATATATATATAAAGAATATACATTATGTTTGAAAATCTGCTGTTATAATATATTTGTAATCCTGAGAAAGAAAGGAATTAATACATATAATAATTTATAAGTAGAAAATATATATTTATAAAAGATACACACGAGGGAACGTTTCTATATGAGGAAATATTGTGCAGATAGATTCAGAATACAAAGAAAAGCTCATAACTATGTATCTCATACTTATCTTATTTTCTGTTAAAGAGCTTGTTTTAGTTTCCAAAAATTCTGCAAGAATGATAGGATATACATACATACGTGTGTATAAACTTGGGAGAAGAAAGTAGTAATAGTTAGCAATATAGTCCACGATGAAATCTCTGTGTGATTTGCATTTTGTCTGGCTGCAGCATCTGTATCATACACAAAAATCTGTTTGTGTTTGCACTTTTATTACAAGTATATTATTACCATCGGTATATATATTTTACTTATCGTGATAGACCCGTTTAGTTTCTATTAAATAATCTATTCTATTAAATGAGGCGTATTTAAAAAAACTAGTGGCTGAGATCAACCGCTGCCTATTCTACATCTTGATTTTGTAATAAAACTTAGTTTTTAACATTAGCGAGTAATGATACTAGTCAGTATAAAATACAGCTCGGTATAGCAATACTAAAAATTTTGTGCATAACGGAGAATGCGATTAGTTTTATTCTCGGAACGGTGATGAAGATGTTTTTACAGTCGGTTTTGTTTGGACACAGGTCTACGTTGCAGTGTTCCAGCCGTTACGGGTGTCTCGTCATCAGTTCAAAAAAGTATTAAATTGCATGAAGGTCATTCGCCAGTTGAAATATCAAGAGGTTTACGCACAAGAAAAAGTGACCAAAGTCGATTCTTTATCATTAGTGCTGTCGGGAAAGTAAGGGCTTTAATTCAAGTTCTTTATATAAGTTTTTTATTAGAATATTTTATGTAAAATTATGTTTTTATTTATGTTATTATCTTCTCAGGCTAGTTGTCTCTCAAAATGGAAGAGCATTGCATATTGTCTTCCCACATCAGTTCCTGGACTCTCCAGAATGGTTTGGTGTCTCAACGGATGAGTACTTCCAGGTAAATATTACAGCCAACTTTTGTGACGCGCGTGTAATTCTATTTGATAAACTTTTATTAGATAATCAAACTTTCTTTTTGTTTTTAAGTTTGTTCTGTCGAGTATAATTTCAAAACAGATTCCAATATAAATATTCAAAGTCACATTATATATTGTAGGTATCAATAACAGCTATGGAAGAATCGAGAATATTATTATGGCATAGAGACAAATTAAAATTAAGCATTATTAGCGATCAATTCCTGCAGGCAGTGTTTGATCACATTCTGGGCAGAGATGTAGTTAAAAAATTAATGCAGGTATACCTCTCTTTTTATATTGCACACTCTTGCTTAAAATATTAATGTAAAATACAGCTTATTAAACATATTTTATTTGTGGAAAAAAAACTTAAATTTTACGTAACTATCAAGTTCTGATTATATCACATAGTTCATATAAATTGTCAGAATTATCACCAATTGTTTGAAATGTGATGAAAGTTGTTCATAAGTAAAAAGACACGATATTTACATATGCGTTGCTATTCCTGCAATAGGTCAGCGAAACAATGGCTGCAAGCAGTCATCAGCAGCAAAATGGACAGATAATTGGTCTGGGTGGAATCGGAGCCTTAGAAACTGACGCTGATACGAAACTTTTTGTTGTAAAAAAGACTGGTGACAGTCAAGGAATTACTGCTCTAATCAGTCGTCAACTTCAAGGTATGTATCTAGAGATTTATTTATGATTTTTCTGGTTGGTCAATCAGCACCTTTTATTATATACATTCTAGAATAAAAGGACAACATTCATCTCCTGTACATTTTTCGTTAATTTTTAATTGCATTCTTTAGCAAAATTGTATATTTCTTACAGAATTCCGGCATGTGTATATGTTTCACAATCACTGTTTTTCAATTCACATGTATATATATATATATAGTACTTTTTACTTTCACAATCCAACACACTGAATATCATTTTTTTCTTAAAACATAAGAGTGAATAACACTTAAAAATGTGAGCAGATGCAAGATGATTTCTAAACGACAAAACTTCAAAGTCAGTTTTCTTGAAAAAAAATTTCAAATAGAGGATTATTTGAAGACTAGAACATTTTTGTAAAAAGAGAAAAATCATCTTGTATTCGCTTGTGTATTTTTTCTTGTTTCTCGTATTTTTGTCATAGTTTGTACTAAACAATTCACGTAAAGAACAACTGTTTGTTGTTTGAACACGTACAGACCTCGATTATAGTAATGCATACTAAAAATTGGGAAATAGAGTAATATATTATATACATATTAGTTACGATTGTTCTTTTGTCAAGAGGCAATAATAATTGGCACACACATCTTCTATTGCATTATAGATATTTTTGAATTTTGTGTATTTACATGCACCTTTTTTTAATTTTGCATCAATTTTGATTTTGCTTGGAAAATAGAAGAAAGAATGCCGCTGCTGTACACGAGCCAAGAAGTGTTGAACAATACCCTGCATCATACGAACCGCCTACATGTACCACCTTGTACATTCCTTTCGCATCCTGTGTCAAACAACGTTCAGAATTTGCCGTAATATCCTTGTCTGCTGATTTTGCTCAACGCTGTAGCACTAAACGGTATGTGTTGTGTATCGTATGTGATGTCCCTGCAATGGATACGTATACATTACACAAAATGTCATAGCGATACTATTTATCGTTGTTCCTGAACACCGAGGTGAGTTTTATACTTACAAAACATTTTTATCAAAGTTGAAATATATGCAACAAGCAGTATATTTTTGTTCAAACTTTTACGACCAACATGAAAATATGGAGACATACGCTTTTATATATCGTTATCACGGAATATGTTTATAAAAAGTAACGCAAAGTGCGATATCTCTCAATAGACATTTGTTAAATCGTAAGTAAAATAACATCTGCGAGGATAAGGCGTGTGATACGTTACAGTAAGGGATGAGGTGTGTGTACAATAATTCTAAAAAAAAAACTTTCGTATTAATTTACAGCGGCAGGAGATCCGAACGCTTGGAGATTGGGAAGAATCGACGAGACTGATCACGAAACACCTGTTTAAAGAAAAGATCGTTAAATCAATGTTATCCTCGACAGTCAATATAAACGTAACACCGGTGTTTTTACGCATTGAGATAACGACAAGCCTGGTATAATTCATCGTGACTAGAAAAACAAAAAAAAAACAAAAAAAAACAAAACAAAGAAAAATAAACCAACCGTGGCATGTTGTTGAAACTGTGCTTAGAACAATCGAACATTCTCTCGCCAATTAATAATTTTCCTGGTGGATAGTCAAACCAATGTAACGCGATAATAAGAAAAAAAAAACAAATTCCATTGTTTTGTAGTAATATAATGAATTCCACTATAGTTTATAAAGCAACTAACAATAAGTTAACGCTTCCACTGTGTATTCGTTGAGCATGCGCGAGCTTACATGGAGCCGAGGGGAGTATGTATCTATTTATTATTTATTTCGGTGAAATTGACATGGGTGTTGTATGTGTGTGCGACAATTTGAGAATGTGAACAATATGGACTTCAAGAAGTACGCGGGTATGATAAAACGAGGAGGGGGTACGACACAAAAACGCTCGCGGCGACGTTAACAACTTCTCTGACCCGCGCACGCGAGAGTTCGCGTGTGACGTCGCGAGGCTGACTTTTAAAAAGAAACTGATCGGGGGAGGCCTAAAGAAACTGATTCTTTCCCATACCCACAGAAATAGTGCCTTTTTACTTACACTTCCTTTCTGAATGTTTTCATGTGAAAAAAAAAAAAAAAAAAAAAAAAAAAAAAAATGTACAGTACGATATACGCGCCATATATATTAT